TCAAACAATCAAAACCGCAACCCCAACTCGTTGGCACAGCATTTTAGAAATGCTAGAAAGTGTAATCCACATATGTAACCGAGAACCAATAAATAATATGTTGAGGAAGAATGGCCAAGAAGAACTTAGAATAACTCAAAGTGAGTGGATTCCTTTAGAAGATTTAGTAAAGTTTTTGAGAAGCTTTCGCGAAGCCGTCGAAATCTTGTCGTCTCAGAAAACAAGCACAATGAATGTTGCTCTGGTGTTCCGTTCTGAGATTATGGACGTATTAAAGCTCAATCAAGATGATGAAGAACTAATATTGTTACACTTAAAAAGCAACATGATGAAAAAAATGAGTAAAATATTCCCAGTAACAAAGTCCATTGTCGCAGCAGCACTGTTGGATAACCGCTTTATGAGTACGACAGAAATTGATTTTTTTCTAGAAAACCCGAATATGGCCAGAACGTCCTTCCTTTCCTCGTACATCAGAGAAGTTATAAATATTAATAACGAGCCAGAAGCTTTAGGCAAAAATGCAGGCAATACAAGCACCAGCAATGTAACCGACACATCATTCTTGCATAAACTGTCGAGGAAACATAGTGTTAGTACATGCCAAGGGATTCAAGGTAATCCAATAGAGCAAGAATGTTGACGTTACATTGCTGGTGCTGATCCTACAGAACCAAAATATGGTGATTTATTAACTTATTGGAACAGTAAAAACAAGTATTTCCTTATATTGCTGCTCTTGCTAAAGCTCTAATCTGCGTGCCTGCCACAAGCACTCCTAGTGAGAGGGTAGTCTCGGTAGCCGGGTTAACCGTTACGGCGAAAAGATCTCACTTGAGCTCTATTTATTTTCTATAATCAACTATCTAATTAATTTAAGTTTTATAAAATAAATTATTTTATTTATTTATTTATTATAACATGTTTTCTATTTCCACCAATAAAGTATAATGCTACAATTCGGGTAAATAATATATTCATTCATGATAATTATAAAATATGTAAGATGGATAGTAATGAAATTCATTAGTATGTTAAAAAATTGTTTGAGGCTATTAAAGTAAGCGTTCATTTGTAACATTGTTTTTTTTTTTGTACCTAACCTAGACAAGGTATGTAATATACCTACTGACATTTTCCTGTCGTCCACCTTAATCGGTGTTAATAAGCAGCGTGTTGAGATTTAATCCAACCAGGTGAAGAGGTGTAGATTGCGTGTTTTATAAAAAAAATACAGGAAAAGTAGCCACGCCGCCGGCGCTACGCCGCCGCCGACTGAAATTTGACAGCACGCCGCCGCCGACAAATTTTAAGGCGGCGCCCACATCTAATCTGAGGATGCCTCGTGTAGAGGCGAAACACGTGTCGTATTATCGTCAGTGGTGTGTCTTGCCTAGTTTAGTGGTGTTGGGAGTAGCCGTGCTAGGATTAGTGGTGACGAGGATAGTGCACGCAATTGAGGGAGGGCGGGAGGTGCTCTTCATACTAGGTAAGACACATCATTTTATTTTATAACGCGGATATTTGCGAAGTAAATTTTTCTAAAAGCTTTTATAAAGATTTTCTTATTCAGGCTTCGATATCAGTCCTAGTTTTAAGTAACAGAAACGTTAAATACAGGCTCGTTGCCGTTAGTTTTAGAATATTTTAATATCACTTATAACAACTGTGGCAATAAAAAAAAGATTACAAGCAAATTCTGTCAATGAATACTAATTTACAGACCGATTTACACACTAAATAAACGGCGTAAAGTCGAGTTTCATGTAAGCACTTTAATAATTCAGCCTTTTGAAATCATTGGTCTTGAAAAGTAACTAAATGGTATCGCCAATTACAATTTCAATTGTTCAACTGTTTTCAACTCTTGAAATTGAACGAAATAATATGGTATTTTTTAGGCTACACATTAAATAGAGCGACGATCTTGCAACCTTGCAAAGCGAAAGAAATTTATAGAGCCAGCGTCTTAAAACCGGGCTTTGTGGATAATCTGTTGTCATCTATATATATAGGAGGCCAATGATGCTGATGCCTCGTAAAATTTAACTTTTTCTACCTTTCCTAGCAGTTATAGAAATTTTGGTAGGAAGACTTTATTTTTTACAAGTAATCCATCTACATACGTAAGCAGTAGTGCATTTACGACTATAAGGATATTATAGTCCTCAGAAGTGACAACGCATCTATAGCCCCCTCCTTTATATACGTAAGCAATAGTGCATTTACGACTGTTAGGTTATGATAGTCCTCAGAAGTGACAACGCATCTATAGCCCCCTCCTTTATATACGTAAGCAGTAGTGCATTTACGACTGTTAGGTTATGTTAGTCCTCAGAAGTGACAACGTATCTATAGCCCCCTCCTTTATATACGTAAGCAGTAGTGCATTTACAACTGTTAGATTATCTTAGTCCTCAGAAGTGACAACGCATCTATAGCCCCTCCTTTATATACATAAGCAGTAGTGCTTTTACGACTGTTAGGTTATCTTAGTCCTCAGAAGTGACAACGCATCTATAGCCCCCTCCTTTATATACGTAAGCAGTAGTGCATTTACGACTGTTAGGTTATCATAGTCCTCAGAAGTGACAACGCATCTATAGCCCCCTCCTTTATATACGTAAGCAGTAGTGCATTTACGACTGTTAGGTTATCTTAGTCCTCAGAAGTGACAACGCATATATAGCCCCCTCCTTTATATACGTAAGCAGTAGTGCATTTACGACTGTTAGGTTATCATAGTCCTCAAAAGTGACAACGCATCTATAGCCCCCTCCTTTATATACGTAAGCAGTAGTGCATTTACGACTGTAGGGTTATCTTAGCCCTCAGAAGTGACAACGCATCTATAGCCCTCCTTTATATACGTAAGCAGTAGTGCATTTACGACTGTTAGGTTATCTTAGTCCTCAGAAGTGACAATGCATCTATAGCCCCCTCCTTTATATACGTAAGCGGTAGTGCATTTACGACTGTTAGGTTATCTTAGTCCTCAGAAGTGACAACGCATCTATAGCCCCCTCCTTTATATACGTAAGCAATAGTGCATTTACGACTGTTAGGTTATGATAGTCCTCAGAAGTGACAACGCATCTATAGCCCCCTCCTTTATATACGTAAGCAGTAGTGCATTTACGACTGTTAGGTTATGTTAGTCCTCAGAAGTGACAACGCATCTATAGCCCCCTCCTTTATATACGTAAGCAGTAGTGCATTTACAACTGTTAGGTTATCTTAGTCCTCAGAAGTGACAACGCATCTATAGCCCCCTCCTTTATATACGTAAGCAGTAGTGCATTTACGACTGTTAGGTTATCTTAGTCCTCAGAAGTGACAACGCATCTATAGCCCCCTCCTTTATATACGTAAGCAGTAGTGCATTTACGACTGTTAGGTTATCATAGTCCTCAGAAGTGACAACGCATCTATAGCCCCCTCCTTTATATACGTAAGCAGTAGTGCATTTACGACTGTTAGGTTATCTTAGTCCTCAGAAGTGACAACGCATCTATAGCCCCCTCCTTTATATACGTAAGCAGTAGTGCATTTACGACTGTTAGGTTATCATAGTCCTCAAAAGTGACAACGCATCTATAGCCCCCTCCTTTATATACGTAAGCAGTAGATCATTTACGACTGTAGGGTTATCTTAGCCCTCAGAAGTGACAACGCATCTATAGCCCTCCTTTATATACGTAAGCAGTAGTGCATTTACGACTGTTAGGTTATCTTAGTCCTCAGAAGTGACAATGCATCTATAGCCCTCCTTTATATACGTAAGCAGTAGTGCATTTACGACTGTTAGGTTATCATAGTCCTCAGAAGTGACAACGCATATATAGCCCCCTCCTTTATATACGTAAGCAGTAGTGCATTTACGACTGTTAGGTTATCATAGTCCTCAGAAGTGACAACGCATCTATAGCCCCCTCCTTTATATACGTAAGCAGTAGTGCATTTACGACTGTTAGGTTATCTTAGTCCTCAGAAGTGACAACGCATCTATAGCCCTCCTTTATATACGTAAGCAGTAGTGCATTTACGACTGTTAGGTTATCTTAGTCTTCAGAAGTGACAACGTATCATAGCCCCCCTCCTTTATATACGTAAGTAGTAGTGCATTTACGACTGTCAGGTTATCAGTAAAAAATAGATTGCAGTATTAATTAGAGTATCAGAAACAACCATTTTAAACATCCTACAAGGTGTTTAACCTTCGCATGACAAAGTCTGTGCAAGAAGGGGTCCGAGAATGTTTTCAGCGCATCAAAAACACGAGCGAGTCGAAAGTTGTTGCGATTTTTTGGACCGCTGTGGAAAGCAAAGCGAGGAAGTTATGACTCGAATTGTAATTGACGATGAAGCTAGGATTCACCATTACGAAGCTGAATCAAAGCAAGATTCGATGCAGTGGCATAAAAAAGCACACCCCCTCCTAATAAGTATAAGGTGTCTCAATCGGCCGGAAAGATCATGGCGACGATCTTTTGGGATACAGAAGGTATCCTTTTGATTTGCACGACAATGCGCCCGTGCACCCAAACCATGTTGCGACGGCTGCCATTCACCGGTGCAATTTTGAACAACTGCGCCACCCATCCTACAGCCCGGACCTGGCCCCATGCGACTATTATTTGTTTCCAAAAATGAAGAAAGAACTGCGTGGGAAAAAATTGGCGACGATAATGAAGTGAAGTCGGCAATTTCGGCCTATTTTGACGCCCAAGACAAATCTTTTTTTTTTTTAGACGGTATTAATAAGTTATTTGACAGATATAATAAATGTATTAGGGTTCAGGGTAACTATTTTTTATGTAGAATACATTGAAAAGAAAAAATAGTTTAATGTTTCATTTCATATCCTTCCCTGTCATTCCGCGAACTTTTTGACCTCCCCTCGTAGCAGCTTAAAGCTTCTGTGTCACTTACCATCATGTGGACTGGTACTCATTTGTCACCCTTATTCTATAAAAAAAATTACATTTTAGCAAATTTACCTTTCGTACTCGTATCTTGTAACTTTGGAAACAATGAGACATTTGTCCATTTTAAGCCGAGTATCTTTGCCATCTTTGGAGCCGTGCCTGCGCGTGGGCAGTAGTCTTTCACATAATTCTTTGTTTTGCCGAAGACCTGAAAGGACAAATGCAACTTTGATTACAGGTAATCATTAAAAATTTTCAACACTACGATCAACAACAAGAATTGTTTTCTCTAAGTAACGAAAATCTTATAATGCACAATTGAAAAAAAACCAGTTTGATGGAAAATATTAAAAACGATACCGATACCGATACCGATACCCTGGTATCATAACATTTTATGATCTGAAGGCGACTCAATTTTTTTATAGAAGCAAGGGTTGTCACACAAGTAGACTGTATAATTGTTTGATACCCTATTTTGTAACTGTAAGTGGATGCTGTAACCAATAGACAAAAACCTATCGATTTAGAATTACATTAGAATCGATTGAGAATAATAATGCAATTAAGCTATTTTTTATTGCTAGATTAAAACCAAAATAAAGTCACGTCTAATGCACAGTGCAGAAAGTATCAATTAGAGCATCTTAGTATAACAAAGCTGAAGTTAATTTATACAAGAGGTGCAATGGCTTTTCACTTTTTAATCGAACTAAAAAACGAAGAGGTTCTGCTATAATTGACGTGATTTTTTTATGGATCTTCACCGATTACTCGGAGACGGCAGATACGATTCAAATAAATATTTTTAAGGGTAGTCCCATATTACTTAAAAGGTGTAAATTAGGGATGAAATACTTAATCTCCTATTACAAAATTGGTTTATTGATAGTCTCGGGTTATAAGAAGAGTCCATCTAACTAAAGATGTTCCTTAGATGCGACGCACATTCTTCACGAAATTTGACAGTTTTATCGTAACTACGAGTACACGAATTGTACAGGACACATACGGGACAAATTTTCTGAGATTATTGAGGACAAACAAAAGAAATATTCATATTTATGCGACTTCAAAAAAGAAGATGACTATTAGACTGTATGTTCTTTTTCTACCGACTTCAAAAAGGTTACTGTTTTCTACCGACTTCAAAAAGGAGACGGTACTCAATTCGACTGTATGTTTTTTTTATGTGTGTTACCTCATAACTTTTTACTGGGTGAACCGATTTCGATGATTCTTTTTTATTTGAAAGCTGGTACTTCGCATGTGGTCCTATATAAATTTGGTCAAGGTCTGGCCAATAGTTTTTGAGTTATCCCTAATAATTTATATTGAAGTCGGTTGTACAAAATTTTTAATTATTTGTACGTATTTTGTGTTTTTAAACAATTCTAATAATTAATGTTTTTATATAATAGGTTATACTTCACGGGTGGTCCCAAATGAACTTGCAGGAAAATCTATACATATAATAAAACTGTAAATAGCAGATGTCTGTACATTTTATATTTTTGTAATAAAAGTGATTAAGGGGTACTAAAAATAAGTAATTAAATACATTTCTACCATTTTTAGAATTTTCTGTCTGTCTGTCTGTATGTCTGTCTGTCTGTTTGTTTGTTAACGTATCACGTATAAAGTACTAATTTATATCATAAGAATTGTTAAGGAAATTATAAAGTGTATCTTCGGGTTACATTTAGTCTTTATTTCATTAAAATCAGTTTATTCCATCAAAAGTTATGATAAATATTCTGAAGTATGGGTAGGGAAGTATAGGTATGAATTTGCTCAACGGTGGCTTTGTTTGAGTCATCAAGTGCATTTTAAACTAATATCATATCATAAATCATAGTTAAATTATGTAAAATAATGATATAATTATGTATATCTAAAATGCAGTAAACAAAAGTAATAAAGAACGTATTAAATATATTATACAAAACTATATTAACCTTATTAACTAAATCTGAAGCACAATAGTTAACCCATTTCTTCGATAGATGGTGGTGTTGTGAAAATGTAATGCAATTGCAAATGTGGTTTTTTCGTGTAGATGAGTTTTCATATTTACTGCTAATCTTTATTATATTACTCGCTGCCCTACTGCGTGTTGACAAACTCAATTTATTCCTTACCGCCGAGTACTCTATGTGGTAAATCAAATTTTAAATGAGCTATTAACAATTGCGTTGGTTTTGGCGAGAGTCAAACTTTATTTTTTGCTTACTGTGCAGGCACTGATTTATAAGTTCTCTTACGTTTTATATAATGTATCAATCGCGTCAATTAATCTCTTTTATTTTTAGAATTGATGATGTTAGCAGCGCCATCTCTCTTTAAATATAAACATATAATAAAAATGATGATAACATATTGTGTCTCTTTCTGTACATTGTATATATATTTTGGTGGCTAAAATCATTATGGGGAACTGAAAATAATTAAATAAGAACATTTTATAATTTTTAGAATTGTCTGTCTGTCTATTTGTCGCATGAACGCATCACGTCTAAAGTAAACATCTTTTATTTTCAAAGAAATCGTTAAGAATATCATAAAGCGTATATTCGAGTTACATTTAATCTTTGTTTTATTAAAATTGGTTAATTCTATCGAAAGTAATGATTATTATTTTGAAATGTAGGTTCGAATTTGTTCAATGGCGCCATAAAATCTCAGAAATAGTAATAAAAAGATTTCTGTATAAAAAAAACGTTCAATAATAATTAATATATTTATACTTAAAACACAAAAAGAGATAGGATGTTTTCTCACACAAAGGACGTAATAGATGGAGTTGTACAAATTACAAACTTTTCTGAATTGCGGTGTTGAGATTTTTCGCCGATGAATCGTATTGAGACTTACTGAAGAAATTTGTATCCATCGAAGCCATACAACGGAACCTGACCAAAAATAAAAATTTTGCAACGAAATGTCGTGATATTGTATTTATAATATACGCAAAATCAGAACTGCCATTTTAGCGCTTTGGGAACTAAATTTAGCACTTTTTTGGAATGTATAGCGCGCATTTCGAAATTTTAGCACCTAGCGCTTATTCCAGCGCCTTTTGGTGTATTTAGCACACATTTCAATATTTTAGCGACTAGCGGGCTAAGCACTGTTAGTCCACATTACCGATAATAATAATGACCTTTATTATTTTTTCCCACAAATAGTACATTGCAGTTTATCTTTTTCAAACATATTTTTCCACAAAACAAAGAGCATGGGAGACGAGTCCAAACTAGGATACCCTGTGCTATGGATCTCCTGGCTTCCCCTTTAGGATGATCAACTTGATTTTTTTACCGACGACTATAAGCGGGGAAATCCCCTTTATTAAAGTTTTCGTTCATGGTTTTGGCAACGCATTTATTTTGCTTTATTCAGTTTCAGTCAGTTGCTTAGAGCACAGCTAAGTTAAAAGTTACTTAGAAGTTATAACACAAAGAAACTGTGTAGCAACCGCAATCAGATGCTGACATCTGAAACTAAGTTGCGAAATACATTAAATTAAAACAATTAATGACATTTTTATTGTTCGTACAATACTAACTACTGTTGACAGCAATTGCTATAATTATAAGTCGATGTCCTGCGAAGTATTGATACATCAAAAAATATTGCCAGAAAAAAAACTTAATGTTGTTTTCTTTATTATGATTATATAAAAAAACACAAACTTTGTTTGTAGTTAATTTAGCGCGAAAACTAGGGCTTTTTTAAAGCGCTGTTTTCATGAAATCTAGCGCTTTTTGTGTTGTCCTAGAGCTGAATGAGTTTTTTTTTTATCTACAGCACTGCCCAAAAACCCTCTATTAAGAAGTAACTTTCCTTTCAGTTTTAAGCGCGTTCAGTTCCCAGTTACAGTGAGTGTGTGTTATGCGATGACCGTAAATAAAGCGCAAGGTCAAACTTTACGCGTTGTAGGAGTGTACCTCAGTACTGACTGTTTTGCACATGGCCAACTCTATGTTGCTTTTTCCCGCGTTAGTAGCCCCCGTAACCTTTTTGTGTATACCCCGGCTAAGCCTACTTCTAACGTCGTTTACACAGAAGAGCTATCATAAACGACTTAGAACTTTGATGATAATGATTTATTTTGTTACCACTTATTGATACAGTAATGAAATAAATCGTTTAATATTCTCTTACCTAAACGACAAATTCTTTATGTAAAACCTGTATACGCGAGCTACGCCGCGGGCACAGCTATTAAAAATAAAAGTAGAAAATTGGGTTTTCGTTTTTTGGTGTCGCTTTTAATTTTATGTTAGTCGATATTCTAATGACTCAATAATTATATTCATTGCGTTAAATACGAGTAGCATGGTGCGGGTGACAGCTCACAGTTTAGCTTGTCTAAAAATTGAACAATGTTAAATCGATTTAAAAAAGGCGATTAACAATACACAAAGCAAAGCAAAAATTATCGACAATCGATAAAAAATTATAACCGAAACATAAATTTCTTTATAAATAAATTACAATGCATGTAAGTTTTAGTTACAGCTTAATACAAATTATGACGTTATAGTTACCTATTATACTTTGTATTAATTTGATAATTTAAAATTAAAAATTTTGTACACCAAACTTCAATATGAGTTATTAAGAATAACTCAAAAACTGTTGGTCTGACCTTGATCAAATTCATATGGGACCACACGAGAAGTACCAGCTTTCAAATAAAAAAAAAGAATCATCCAAATTGCTTCACCCAGTAAAAAGTTATGAGGTAAGGCACATAAAAAAACATACAGTCGAATTGAGTACCGTCTCCTTTTTGGAAGTCGGCAGAAATAATAATGGTCTTTTATTTTATGTTAATTGCAACATTTTCTTAACATTAAAAGAAATAGTTTTAATTGTAGACTTTTTCGTGGTACAGCTATGCTGCAGCTATATTAGTAGTATAGTTGTAGCACGAATGGGTCGGCTCGGCCGAGGAAGGACCAGCTCTCACAGAATACCAGCGTAAAATAGGAGTTGCCGTGTTTCGTATGGTGAGTGTAGAGAACCGGAGACCCTTTTTACTGGAAAAGTGGCATTCCATCTTAGTCCTCACGGGTGACAACGCATCTGCATTTTGATTTTTTATTGAGGATAGATGTGGATGTCTATGGGCCACAGCAACCACTTACCATCAGGTGGACTGTGTGCTCGTTTGTCACCCCATCGTATAAAATAATTACT